CTATATTATAGTAGTGGAAAAGTGACTGAATATGAGATGCCATGTCCGGACTGATAATGTTGCAGATTCGCCTTTGGATTTTATCATCTTTAGATACATAGCAGAAGCACCAGACAAGATGTAATGGCAATATTCAATGCTCTTTTGCTGGATAAGAGCAGTTGTCTTTATTAGTCAATTTTGTCTGAGAGAACTAAATGAATTTCAAACCATCAATTGATCCAGTTGAATAAGTTTACTTCCTGTATTCATGTGCATAAAAATATTTTAATGAAATCAGCTTAGTAAAATTTTCTTTTAGAAAAGTGTTGTCGGTACCTCCATTTCCATGGCTGAAAGAGGTTCCTCTGTTTCATAACCTGGACAAGTGTGGTCATCCCCTGTTCATTCATGGTGGATGGAGGGAGTATTGACATCCTCTCTCATTTGTGGTTTAAAGGATTGTTGCCATCTTTCTTTCTGTGGATGAAAAAAGTTTTGCTAGCCCATCCCTCTTTGCATCCAGAAGGATTGTTGCCCTCTCCTTCTCCTCCTTTGTGGACAGAAGGAGTGGTGCATGATCTCCTCCTTTGTGGATAGAAAGAGAGGTGCTATCACCTATCCCCTTTATGGTTGGAACAACTGATGCCATTTCCTGCTTCCTGGTAGATGGAAGGAGTATTGCCACCCCCCCTTTCTGTGGTTAGAAGTATTGTTGCCATCACTGCTCTCTTTGTGGCTGGAAGGAGTCTTGCTGAACCCTCTCTCTTTATGGCTGGAAGGAGTCTTGCTGAACCCTCTCTCTTTATGTCCAGAAGGATTGTTACTATCTCCTCCTTCTTTGTGGACAGAAGGATTGGTGCCATCATCCCCACCTCTTTATGGTTTGAAGGATTGTTGCCATCACCTCCCTCTTTGTATCTGGAAGGTGTTTTGCCAGCCACTCCCTCTTTGCGGTCAGAAGAATTGTTGTCATCTCCTCCTTCTTTGTGGACAGAAGGATTGATGCCATCATTTCCACCTCTTTATGGTTTGAAGGATTGTTGACCTGACTTCCCTCTTTGTATCTGGAAGGTGTTTTGCCAGCCACTGCCTCTTTGTGGTCAGAAGAATTGTTGTCATCTCCTCCTTCTTTGTGGTCAGAAGAATTGTTGTCATCTCCTCCTTCTTTGTGGTCAGAAGAATTGTTGTCATCTCCTCCTTCTTTGTGGTCAGAAGAATTGTTGTCATCTCCTCCTTCTTTGCGGACAGAAGGATTGGTGCCATCTCCACACTCTTTGTGGCTGGAAGGAGTGTTGCAATCTCCTCTTTCATGTTGGACAGAAGATATGTTGTGTGCTTTTCCCTCTTTGCAGCCAGAAGCGATTTTGCCTTTCCCTCTCCTTTTGTGACTAGAAGGCGTGTTGCCAGCTCCTTTTTCTTAAGAGTCATCTCCTCCTTCATTGATTGAGAGTCATAGCTCCTTCCACATATACAAGTTTTCTTTCTGGCTCCTTATTCATTATTTCAGTTTCTTTACAACTTCTGTCTTTGTTTCTAATTATCTCAGGTCTTTTCATAGCTTTGCTTTCTTCCTTCTACTTCCATTCTGCATACAATCTTTTGTGACATTGTGCAATCATTTTTTTTACCATTGTTTTTTTCCCTTGCTTGTGACCCAAATTCTTCTGAAACTACAAGCAACAAACATTTTTTTCCCCTGCACTGTTTTCGTATTTCATTTCCTTTTATTTGTAGCTTTTCACACGGTTCACACTTCCAATGGTTTTTCAAGAATGCATGAACCTAAAACTAATTAGAAGTCATTCAGCATCTTCTTTTTCTTTGTACTGTGTCCATTCATGTCTCTCCACAACTTTCTATCCTTTGCAGTGTTGCATTGCAGCTCAGAGTAGACACAGGTTTGTTGCGCAGTTTCTTCTAGTCATATGCTTATGGCTTAAAAATTACCCTTCAGCCAGATTGTTTGCCATGAGTGAAAAAAAAAAAGAATTTCTAGCAGTAAACCAGATTTATTGCTGGGTTGTAACCTACTGCTATAAGTGACCAAAGTAAAGATGAGGTGGAGAGGAGGTGTGCAGTCCAGCAGCTGTCTACCCTGTCCATTCTCCAAGGCCTGCTTCATCCCTTCTCTCTACCTGTTCACAGGATGGTCAGTTTTATAGATAACAATTTTCTTTGTCTTGTCATCTTCATCTAAAAAAGTAATTTATCTTCCTTCCATGACTTTCTTTCTGTCTGAGCCTCTTGCACTATACTTTGAAGTTGACTTCACTTACTGATAACTATTGGATGGAAATAAATGTTCCTTATCCATTTTAGCAACAGGTCCAGCTGTTTTCAATTTAACAAGACCTCAGCTGACAAATATCAGCTCTTAGTAATGTTTTATCTTTTTGCCATTACCCCCACTTAGATCTGTCATCAATTCACACAAGCTAGTCAGGTTTGTGGCCTGCTGCTTTTTCGTGTTCCTCTTTGTCTCCTATATGTCTCCAAGCTTTCCTTCCTCATTATGCGTCGAAGAAATTTCAACTGTTTCTTTGTGATTTTTGTTTCTATTTTCCTTAAGACTTCTTCATTGCTTAAATGCTCTGTATATGGTATTCTCAACATCCTTCTGTAGAGCCACATGACTGTTACTGCTAGTCTTCTCTTCATCTGTGAAGAAATTGTCCAACCTTCGCTATCACATAGGAGGATTGATATTACATGATATTACATGATAGTTCAGTCTTCTTTTCTTTGTTTCTAATGATATTTTCCTATTTCTTAGTATTTTGCTTAGCTTTGGAAATGCATCTTTTTGCTACTCCAATAACCTTTCTGTTTTTGGTTTCACATTTTCTATCCTTTTAGATATTTAGACTTCCGGCATTTATTATTGATGAATGCAATCTTAATATATGATACACAGACATCAATGTGTTGAAGGCAGTCACAAAAGCAAAACTTCAGGTCCTCTTAGACAATGTGACCAAAAAAGTTTAGCCTATCGTCTGGTTCATACTCCTCCCCAGTTTTTGAACAGGAGAAGTTGTTTATCCCTTGTTTCCTGTTTAGGATTATGTTTCCGGTTCCTTCTAAAGCCTGTTTCAGATCTATATTCCTAATGCTTGTTCTTTCCTATGCTAATAGAAATCCACAAAGTAAACCTCTACTTTGAGTAGCTCTTGGTTAAGAGGAGGGATCTTTGCCAAGGGAGAAAAATGCTAAGTGCCACATGAGATAGGAAGCTGAGGAGAGCCGTGATCGTCTGTCCTGAAGCAAAGGAGCATGTAATAGTAGTAGTACAGTGAAATTAGCATGCTAAGTTCAAACTCTAAGTGAGCTTTTTGTTCACTTAGTGATAATAACTTTTCAAAAAGTACAATTTCCCCTCCATCTATGGGTTAAATAGTAAAAATTTTATCACCACACCATTGTTATCCCTCCCCACCTAAAAAAATCTTACAATCTAAAAATATTTTTTGGCTTTAAATAACCTGCAAAGTATTGATAATCTGTAGAAAATAAATCAATCGTTCATTCAAAATAATTTCTCCAGCTATGGGTTATATAGTAGGGCAAATTGGCCTTGGTTGGGTAGTAGGTCAAGAAGGAAAACTGGATTCATAACCACACTGTCATGTGATCATGCCCTTATGTTTTAGCTGCAATACATGTGATACCCCAATAAGCACAATATATTATGGGTCTTCTGACAGTGATATACAATTATTAACAAAAATGATTCATCCATGTTCAGTGAATTGGAAAACAAGCATCATAGGATTAAACAGACGAAGTAAAACATTTACAGGGCAAATGTCTGCTCAGACGTTGACAGAACAAATGTCTGCACTAATGTAGACAGAGTTTATATTTCGTAAGACATTTATGTAGTAAATATTTGGTCAAATGACGGCACTGTAAATATTTGATCAAACGGATTGCAAATATTTGCCGAGACATTTGCATAGTAAATATTTGCTCAAACATTGGCATAATAAATATTTGACCAGACGTTTGCATAGTCAACATTCAGTCAAATGTTGACTTGGTAAATATGTAAACAGAAAATGTTGAACTTTTATGTTTATGTATTATAAAATATGTACTCCAGTTGTAGTCAGGCTGACCATTACTAGTGAGTTATCATCACTGGATATCCCGATATTTGTGGCTTTGTGCCAGGCTTAGAAAAAGACAAAACTTGATTCCTGTCATCATTAATGCTCATTGACTTTGAAGGTTTACCTTGACAAAACCTCTTTATTTGATGGCATGTCAGAAAAAATAGAGGGCAAAATCTCATTACGGTAAAGGAATATTGATATTATTCTCTCGGATGAAACAACTTTGTAATCTATTTTCATCTTTTTATACATCTTGTTTGGTTAGATGGCATTTTGAGGAGTTCACTATTGTGCATAGCCTAAATGATGCACATAATTGTATCGATACTCGAGAACAGTCTTTGTCAACCTCTGTTTTCTGCATTGGTTGTTTTCATTGGTTGCTTTTGTTTAGTGACATATCAACACCTCTATTACATGATATTACATGATAGTTCAGTCTTCTTTTCTTTGTTTCTAGTGATATTTTCCTATTTCTTAGTATTTTGCTTAGCTTTGGAAATGCATCTTTTTGCTACTCCAATAACCTTTCTGTTTTTGGTTTCACATTTTCTATCCTCTTAGATATTTAGACTTCCGGCATTTATTATTGATGAATGCAATCTTAATATATGATACACAGACATCAATGTGTTGAAGGCAGTCACAAAGTTTAAAGCTGAAATCTAAATATTTTGTATGCAATTTTATTTTATTTTATTTCTTTTTGGGGTGGAAATTGTAATGGTTATAGTGGTACAAGTCTTACTAATTAACCCACAGCAGAAGAGAGAAGAGGTGGATTCATAGCTTTCTCAAGGGTATTTGTGCATAAGTGAATATAACAAACCCAAATGAAATTTAAGTCGACTCTCCAATTAACAGTTCTGAGCCATTATCCATTACACCACCCACATATCCAAGCTTACAGCACTTGGTATTCCCAAGTAGTCACCCATCTAGGTACTGACCAGGTTCAATGTTGCTTAACTTTAGTGGTCATACGGGAACCTGTGTTTCAGCATGATTTAAATTCACGAATGATTTAAATCACTTGAAGAAGGCAAAAGGGAAAAGATTATCTGTACCTTCTTAATGATAAAAAAATTTAGCATCCAGTTTGAAATAATAAAGATCTGTTTGGAAAATATTTTTACAAAAACCCTACTTTATGGTTTCCTTGAATTAAACTTTTTAGGACTTTATGGTAAATGGTATTTTTAAAAAAAAATTTCTATTTTCCTTTTTAACAGCAAAGAATAAATTCTTATGATTTCTTACTCCTGAGCATGCAACATACAGCTAGTCATGCATAAATATTTCTTTCTGGAGCCAAATTCATTTGGCCTTGTAATTTCTTTATAGTTCTTGCAAACACAGGGCAATCTAGAAACTAGATTCTTATATAATATATATATATATATACACACCCTAGTATAGGATTGGTGTATACGGAATAAATTCCAATAACCAACAATTACTCTTCTTAAAAGAGTGCTCAATACAGAGTAGAGCAGATATAATTATTTATTTAAAAATTATAACATAAATTTTTTTATAAAATCACTACAAAAATAGTCATTTTGTTTCAACACCTCCAGTGTCTTTTTTTTGTAACATATTTATGTTATAATTTTTAAATATATATATATATATATATATATATATATATATATATATATATATATATATATATATATATATATATAAAAACTTAAAAGATATGCAAAACCTATTGCATTTTTATTAAATAAGTATTTATTTATTTAATCATTAAATTGTTTTTAAAATAGTCGGAGTATTTTATATGTTAAATAATTCAATTTTTATTTTTCCCAAAAAATTAATGAAAATTTATTATACTAAGCTATGCACCCTAGTAAACCAACTGTACTTTGTACCCCCTTACCTGTTAGCATGTCTCCCCAAAATTTGGTTTTGATCAGTCAATGTGTGACTATTTTATAGAGTATGACATATGGACAGACTAACTAATGGAAGTCACATAATTTTATATATAGATTTGCATTGGTTTTTAAGGCTTTGATTCAAATAAAGGGATATTCAATTTTCCCAATTAACTGGCATCAATTGTATCTATATCGTAGTTAATCAATAATTTTGAAATATTTGTCTGGAGAGTTACAGTTTTGGCAGGCATGAGAAATTCGATTAGCCAACTCACTAAGGGTAATTAGTAATATAGATATCTCTCTTTCCACTTTTTACACCCTCCCCCATCTCAAACACTTGTCACAGTAGATAATGATCGAACGTCGTTCTCTCGTTAACTGTTTGGTGGAAAGACATTTTGTTTGAAATTAGTTGTCTTTCTAGTTTAATGTGATGTAGTCTGATTCTTGAAAATGAAATAAAACCTCAAATACTTTGTTGTAGTCGTTCAAGATAACTTAGACGTATTTAATGTTTGTCCACCTGAATAACAACTTTCCTGGGATTTAAATTCTTGTTATTATTCACATTCTTTAATACGGAAACTTTCTAGCAAGTATCTGTCATTAATAGTAATAGTAATGACTAGCAATATGGCCATGCTTGATTCAAAAATCGTACGACTCATACAGCAATCGCTATCATTTGACTTAAAATATTTTTGCCCTTCCTTGCCTTTAAAGGAGTGCCCTTTGCCGTGCTGATGTTGCTAAATGCCTTACTTCTTGCCTATCTCACACTGCAAATTTTTTCTAAGCTCTATACTAAACATTAAAACTCTTACGAAAAAAGAACTAAACAAAATGAACACAAAACAATCAGCTTTAAAAAAGGACTCATAACTGGAAAAACCGAATGAAAAGAGAATGTTAACAACAAATACTTGTCTTGTCTTACTAAATCAATTATGACTGGATAGTGAGTTTGATCCTCACTAGGTGCCCTATTCTTTCGGCCTTGTGCCACATCTAAGTTAGACTAAGAAAATCATCATTGACGAATCAGCCAGGATTACTCAAGTTAGTCTTTTCTTCACTATTTGGACATCAGGCTGTGATCAGTGTGTAGTATCTGCTTTTAAGCAGACAAATTACAATTTTATCTGTCTTTGGATGGAACACAACTGATAAATGAGGGATGCTTGGTCCTGCAGATTTCAATCCTGTGGCAGCACCTTCCTCGTTGCACCAAAGAGTGGAGAGGTGTAATATCAACACCAGTGAGGCATTGGTTATGGGAACTGTGTAATCTTTGGCCTGAGCCCATGTGCAATCACTTGGGCTCCCCACTTTAAACCGGCCCCGTGCCATATTCTAATATGGTAGGGGAATAATTAAATATCAAGTGTAGTATGTGTTCTCTTAATCCCAAATGCTAATAGTAATATTAGCTGATTCCTTATTAAAAAACATTCAGCATTGAGTGAGCAGCTAGTATTACCAGAGTTATACTTTTCTTCACTCCTTGGATATTGAGCTGGGATCAAAGTGTAGCATCTAGTCTTATCATCTCTAATCAAAATCGTAATATTAGTCATTTCCTTATAAGGAAACATTCAGTATTCATTTATTCTGTTTTCTAGTATTGGTCGAAGCTTCCTTCCTAAACATTTATTTGAAGATGTATGGAATGTCAACATCTCAGAATTTTATCTTCAAGTTATGCGTGCTGTCTGCTTTAGTCACTACTGTTGTTGAAAGCTATTAAGTGACATGGTTTCTGTTATCTGGTACAATTCTTTGTGTGTGATTTTGTAGCCAGAGTCCACAAGCTCTGAAAAAAGGATGGTCCTCTTTAGGAGCTACAGTCTTTATTTGATCAACATCATTTTAATTAAGTACTTGGAGGCATGGTAGATTAATGGATCATGTCTTGGATTGAGGAATTGGAGAGTTGAGTTCATTATATTCACTTATGTACTTTGGGAAAGGTATGAATCCAACTCTTCTTCTCCCACAGCTATGGATAAATAGTAGAACTTGGGTGACATCCGGTCTAGGAGAAGGAAAAACTCTGAATTCAAAGTTGACTTGGAAGCAAGAAGCCGGAAGAGAGTTCCAAAAGCTAGAAATGTGAGAGAAGAAACTGTCCACATAGAACATCTAGGCATTTCAACTGTAAAATGATGAGACCTTGCTGCCATTAAAAAAAAAAAAAAAAAAAAAAAATGGCGGCAGAATAAAATAATGGATTGCAGGTTGGAATGAGAAATTGGAGAGCCAAGCTCTAATTCCAGCCAAGTTCATTACATTCATTTACATGCTAATAAACTTGGTAAAGATATGAATTTAATTCTGCTACCCCCCCTCCAGCTATGGGTAAATGTTTCTATAGCCTTGGTAAAGGTGTGAATTCAACTCTGCTACCCCACCCAGCTATGGGTAAATGTTTCTTTAGCCTTGGTAAAGGTATGAATTCAACTCTGCTACCCCACCCAGCTATGGATAAATGTTTCTATAGCCTTGGATGACAACTGAACTAAGAGAAGGAAAGACTCTGAATTCAAAACTGTATGTAGCACAGGCAAAGCACATACTATGCAGCTAAATGAAAGGATCATTCACTTTGACTCAATAATCCCAACTATAGGTGACCCCTTTTTTTTATCCAGGTGAAACATCTGAAGAAAAAGAAAACTACTTAATAAGGATCAATATTTGCTATTGATTGTTAAGGAGTGATCTTTACTGGTAAACACTTCTTAGCTGTTTGTTTCTTTTGTTAAAGTTTTTCTTGTCGAGGCTGAATGGCTCTTGATAAGAAAACCTTTTGTGCCAATGTCATCTCACTCTGTTTTGTTTACTTAGCTTTAACACTGTCCTTTCTGTACGCGAGGAGAATCACGAATGAGAGACACCAGGAAAATAAGCGGATGTTGTCTGTTTTCTAATCAAGTTGCCTTAATCATCTGGTGTATGTTTGTGCTGCCTATTATTACCATGAAATAGATGCATGGCTGAGTGATTAGAATGTTTGATCATGAAAAAAAGCCAGGTTTGAATCTCACCATGGTTGATTTGTCAAGGATGTAATTGTTGGTAATATCGGCTTGGGGAGATGATTCCAACATGTGGCACTATTGGGGGTGGGTAAGTGCCTGAAAACCGCAGCACAGTTGGACCCAAGCCTTGTGAAGGAAATTGAGATGATGAAACTGTTCAGAAGATGTTGATGATTGTGCTGGAACAAATTCACATGTCATCATGACTGAGTGTTCAAGTGTCTTTTCCCTATTCAACTACAGATTAAATGTTCTCTTTCTCCATGTAGCAGTAGTCTTATGCCATATCACATTGAAATACAGATTCTCCTACAATCACCAGTTAAGCAATGTCGAGCCTGATTAGGACTTAGATTGGTGAGTGCTTGGGAATATTAAGAACTGTAAGCTTAGATGTATAGTTGGTGTAATGGTTAACAGCTCAGAATTGGAAATTGGAGAATTGAGTTGCAATTCCAATCAGGTTAGGTATATTCACTTATGCGGAAATAGCCTTAGGAAAGGTATGAATCCAACTCTTCTCCCGCTAGCTATGGGTTAATTAGTAGGACCTGTATCAGTAAAATCATTATCTCCCAGGACTAAAAAAAAATTCTTTACTCTAAAAATTTTTCCGGCTTTAAATAAACTGTAGAAGATGGATAAGCCATAAAAAAAACCAAAATAACCAATCAATATTTTAAACTTAATGCAAAGAAAGTACATGAATTAAAAGAGAAAGTAACTTATTAAGGCAAAAATGTAGTTAAACTAAACTAATTTTGGAATCGTCCATCATAAATGTACATGTTCAGGATCAGAGTACATATCAGATTTACTCAGAAAACAGATGCGAATACAATATGGGATCTTTAAAAACAATATATGGTTATCAGTAGAATGAAGAGCCCAGAATGTGAACTACCAATTGAAGAGACCAAAATGAAGCAAGTATGATAATTTAAGTATGTGGGAAGTGTTTTAACAGAAAATTATTAGTTTTGGATATATATATATATATAGAGAGAGAGAGAGACAGACAGACAGACATTGAAGTCAACATCCAGCAGCAACAGCCTGTTTCATTAAT